GCTGCGTCCCAAATCGCATACTTATGCACTATTCTACGCCATTTTGTAGTATAAATAGTGTAAGTAGTGTGTTCACACTGAAAACTCTAAAAAAATTAAGTGCACTTTAATTACCCGGATGATACACTCATTCAGGCGCTAAAATGAAGTGTGTAATGATGGACACTTCACGCACTCAACGACCGCAGGTTTGCTTACGTAGCGGAAAGGGCGGAGCTATCGGATGCACATGTTGGATAACTTTATTTATTTTGGTTGGTGAAAGCAAAATTCTCCAACGAGAGTGATTATAGCGCCTCTGATGGTGAATGCGGCAATACTCACGGCAGGTTTTATTTGATAGTTTGGTCATTTATTTCACTGATTTGGCAACCATCAAACGTCATCAGGGAAACGGTTTGAATTTCCGCTTAGTAAAAAAACATTAGTGTGCCATTTGGGACAACACTACATACATATACTTTCCTGTTGAGTGTGTAAGTGCATAAGTACATAGTGCATGAGTGCATAGTGTATAGTGTGCCATTTGGGACGCAGCATGAAATCCCCTTTTCCTTTTCTTCACTGCCTTTAAAATATTGAACACATTCTCTCATTGACTGCGTGATTCATTGTGACTATTCATTCATTCATTTTATTTTCGGCTTAGTCCCTTTTTTAATCATGAGTCGCCACAGCGGAATAAACCGGCAAATCATCCAGCATTTGTTTTACATAGCAGATGCCTTTTCAGCCGCAACCAATCACTGGAAACTTTTTAAAGTAATGCATTACAATATTGAGTTGCTCACAAAAAAAGTAACTAGTGGCTTTACTTGGTTACTTATAATGTGTTACGTTATTTTTGAGTTACTTTTGCGTTACTTTTAATTACCTGGCTAAGTCTTGATCTTGAACGTTGTTTTTTATTTTTCCTTTTTTTAATAGAGGAGCTCAGCAATTAACAACACACGCACCGCATACACCTACATTTACCTTTAAAAACACATAAAAAAAAATTATATATTTTAGGATAATGTTTCTGAGAACTTTCTGACCCTAGAGTTTTGTACGATTTGTCTTAAGTTAAATCACTGTCCATTTAGACTATAATCCCCTTTTCCTTTTCTTCACTGCCTTTAAAATAATGAACACATTCTCTCGTTGACTGCGTGATTCATTGTGACTATTCATTCATTCATTTTATTTTCGGCTTAGTCCCTTTTTTAATCATGAGTCGCCACAGTGGAATGAACCGGCAAATCATCCAGCATTTGTTTTACACAGCGGAATCCTTTTCAGCCGCAACCAATCACTGGAAACTTTTTAAAGTAATGCATTACAATATTGAGTTGCTCACAAAAAAGTAACTAATGGCTTTACTTGGTTACTTATAATGTGTTACGTTATTTTTGAGTTACTTTTGCGTTACTTTTAATTACCTGGCTAAGGCTTGATCTTGAACGTTGTTTTATTTTTCCTTTTTTTTAAATAGAGGAACTCAGCAATTAACAACACACGCACTGCGTACACCTACATTTACCTTTAAAAACACTTAACACCAAAAGCAGAGCAGCATTATATCACAACCTTAAATTTTTTCAAAAACTTCTTTACATGTCATGATAGACTGAAGTGAAATTAAACATTTCTGTTGTGGCAATATAAAGCGTCCCATTTGTGGCTTTGTTATTCATTGGGTATCATTCAGAAGGGCTCATCCCTATGCCCTAATCCCTTCGGAGGGCCACTCTGAAGGGATTAGAGCATAGGGATGAGCCCTTTCAAAGTGCATCCACCTAACAACTTCCCTACTCTGCCTAGACTGTCAATCAATTGTATCATTTAAAATGCTTCACTCCAAAGGGCCCTTTAAAGTGGCCAGTTTTGAGCACTTCAGTTTGGAACAACACTCCAGTAAGGCAACCATTACTGTTTTCACTCCGAAGTGTACTTTGGAGGGTGATACATCCCAGAAATAGTCTACTATGATGCACGTTACAAAAAACAAACAACAAATTTGTTTTCTCATTTTCTATTACAAATCAGCACAACATCCTACATCACACTGATCATGCAGAAACCCATCTGAAATCAGTCTAAATTTGATATAAAATCCCCATAAAAGCATTTTTTTATTTATGAAAAGGATTTTATAACAAAGCAATTCCAAGCATCTTCACTGATACAAAGTGCACTAGCAACTTCAAAAAATTTGACAACATCAATTCTCGACAAAATTAAACTTAGCAACATTTGAACTTGAGGCCAGGCAAAGTGCAATACTGTAGTTTACTAACCTGTCTGTGGGGATCCCTGAACCGTTTCTGAGAGGGTCTTGGTATGCTCCGGCTGGGCCTCTCCTTACTTTGGCTTGCGGTCCTGACCTGGAGCCCTCAGGACCACTGTAGAACCATGCTCCAGACTTGGTGAGGATTTCTTGTTGTTTTCGGCACAGGTTGCATACCCACATTACCTACACAACAGATGACAAATTTAGTGAAATACAGAAATTCATAAGAAATAGGTAGCAATAACATTACAAAATAAAACCAAGATGTTCAGCATTTATCAAACTTTGGTCATTTTTGTATCAAACAGATAAACACCAAGAGCCCTATCAAATACCTGGAGCAGTAAGGCGCAAGACATGTATAGCGTAATTTGTTGCAATTTTCTGACCAGCGCAACAGTAATTTTCATGTTTTGCCCCATGATGTTTAAATACTGGGCAGCACGGTAGCGCAGTGGGTAGCACAATCGCCTCACAGCAAGAAGGTCACTGGTTTGACCCCCGGCTGAGTAAGTTGGCATTTCTGTGTGGAGTTTGCATGTTTCACCGTGGTTACATGGTCTCGTCCAAGTGCTCTGATTTTCACCAGAAGTCCAAAGACATGTGATACAGGTGAATTGGGTAGACTAAATGTGATTAAATGAGAGTGTATGGGTGTTTCCCTGTGATAGGTTGCAGCTGGAAGGAGATGGGTCTGGCTGCAGACCTGGTGCAGTGCAATCTGGGCTGCATCCAATGCTTTTTAATGGGCTCACCTAACCCCACCCCTAACCCTACCCGTCACAGTGACGTCACTCGCTCAATTTGAGTGAATTGTGTCTGAGATTGCATCGCTGAGTGATGCAGTCTCAGCTTGCATCCAGATACTATTGGCTGGAAGGGCATCCGCTGTGTAAAACATATGCTGGACAAGTTAGCGATTCATTCCGCTGTGGCGACCCCAGGTTAATAAAAGGACTAAGCCAAAAGAAAACGAATGAATGAACGAATGAATGTTAAAATAGCAAATCCATAAGCCACTTTGTCGACTGTTCCATTCTAAAAAGGAGGTGTGTGAAGGCGCATTGTTGAGGAACTGAAATAGACTGCACCACTGACTAAATGAGAGCAGGTCTAAAGTCCAGCGCAAAGCAGGTTAGTTATTCACATATGCAGACACACACACACCATACAAAATTATCATTTTCTACTGTACATATAAACACCACTACATCTATGCCTTCTTCACCTTTTGTCACTTTATTCTTGACAATTTGCATTAGTATAATATTACTAGTATCCATTACATGCATATTTATATTTGTTTTAATAAAAACAAGTTTAGATTTGTTTTCATGACAGGTTTTGGAGACATATGGGTCACCGGGGCACGGACACAGGGACGTGCGTTTAGAAAGAACTCAGTTTTTTGACCACACTTCATTATTGATGTTCATTTATTGGAAATTAGAACTGAATTTATAAATAGTTTTGAAACAAGTCTTTGCGCTTCACAAACTAAATTAAATATGTAGGCTAATGAATGTCTTCAGTGGAGTGAGTTTTAACCATTTTCTTACTCCACGAAAGTAAAGGAGTAAAGAGTATAGGTAAAGTAAAGAGAAAGTAAAGAGGTCGAATGGAGGAGGCTCATTCTTTATCCTTGCGCAGACGATCTGTTTAACTGTTTTCTCGCTAGTAAAGCTTTCACTTTTTTTACTTGCAAAGTCCGGCATGTAAATAGCAAATGCACCATGGTGCGACACAACTGACTCTTAAAGGGAATGGGAGATGAAAAACTCATTGGTTTAATGCTCCTTATACTCAAAACACACCCATAACTCATTAACAAAAATAAGCACAACCCTGTTAGACCATGCGCCGGGGCACAGAGCATTATTTTCCGTCCTTAAAATAGCCAAAAGTGAATTCTGACACACCGTTAATGCTTTTGAGCCATGCGCTTTTAGAGCCCCAAGTGTCTGTGAGAAGACCCTGGCTACAAATGACACCATCTGTCAATCTATATTTGTGTGGTCAAGAAAATGGCGAGTAGATACTTGCAGTTATCACAGAATTTTACTCTGCTAAGAAAGCATTTATACACACACATACATCCAACTGATTGTATGCTATGTTGTGGTTTGCTGGAGAATGGAGACTATCCTAAGAAAATAATAATAATAATAATAATAATAATAATAATGATAATAATAATAATATGAAATAAAATGTATTTAAAAATACCTGTGTGAAAAATAAGTGAGATTAACTGTAATGAATGAGCACTTTTATTTTTAAACTACAACATAAACATAATAACCCTTTAAAATCACATTGATTATCACAGTTTTCATACCATTTTATATCAAGTACATTTCATTTTCAAACTACAAATAGTGTATGATGGGTTTGCATGCATGTTTATTTGCTAAAATAAGTGTGCTGAATTAAGTGTGAAAACTGAAGCCAAAATATTTTAAATCAACCTCTAGTGGCTGGCATGACCCCACCTTCTCTATTTCAATAAATGAGACAAAATAAACTTAACATTACAGTTCAAATATTTTTTCTTAAAGATGGTTGGCATCATTTATGGTTATGCAAGTAAAAAAAAAAAATATATATATATATATATATAATATAAAAATATATAATTAATATATATGTATATATATGTATATGTATATATATGTATATATATATATATATATATATATATATATGTATATATGTATATATGTATATATATATATATATATATATACACACACACACACACAGTTGAAGTCAGAATTAATAGCCCACTTTCAACTTTTTTCTTTTTTAAATATTTCCCTATTGATGATCAACAGAGCAAGGAAATTTTCACAGTATGTCTGATAATATATATAATTTATTTTGGCAAGAATAAAAGCAGTTTTAAATTTTTAAACAACATTTAGGGAC